CTATTTTCCTGGCGCGGCGAAACGCTTGTGCCGCACCATGCATGGTGGCGCGACGAGAGGGATGACGTGGCGACGACCGGGGCGCTGACCGGTGACGAGGCAGGGTCTGCCGCGCCACCGATCTTGGTGCGGCGCCGCCGCGCCATCCCTCGCGACGCGGCAGTCCCAGTTAAATATCGCCCGCGAGCCGCCCTCCCTCTGTCTGCCTTAACGCGGTGGACGACTTCCGCGCCGCGTCCTCCCGCCACTCCCAAATATTGTCGGCGTCCGGCCCTCCGTTGCCGCCTCCCTCCCTCCCTTCCCTTCCATTCCCTGGCCGCCTCTCTCCCTCCTCGGCCTCGTTCAAGGTAATGACGCACTTTTTATTTTCGTTTGAACGGTGGATTGAAATATTATGAATGGGAGTTAAGGTTACGAGGAAAATTATGTTTGAGAACTATGGGCTATGGTTTGGAGGAAGATATTAGTTTGATTTTGTCAATGTTAAGGTTAATTATTTAGTTAGAAGTATGTTTACCATGCATATTTTTGTTGCTATAAGTGTTGGTTATATTATTTGAGTTGCAATGCAAATGATTATATTTTACATTAATTTACGTTGTTTTGATTGATGTTTAATTTAAACCATTTTATTAGATGGAAGACATGTTTCGAGAGCAGTTGTGGCGAAAACAGTGTCGTCCTAGAGAATTGTACCCTGACGAGTCTAGCGAATATGCCCCCGTCCCTCCTGACCTCCCTGTCCCTAACTGTGACTGTGGTCGTCCGGCCGCCGTGTTTCAATCGAGACATCCGGACACAGCGGCTCGTTGCTTCTACACATGCAGTCGTTTTAATGTAAGTAATTGTTTCCGTATATTTTTTTCTTCATTTGTATTACTAGGTTACTAATATTTTTTTGGAATTTTGTTGTGTATGCCCATGAGAGATGTTTTTTCTTTCAGTTGATCGACGGCGCAGACAAGTTTGACCCCAGATACATTCTTTTCGACGATTGGTGGAGAGGGCGACATCCACGAGAGCACTTTGAGCGGTGGGTTCCACCTCCCCCTAAGCCCCCTCCAATGACGGCTAAGGAGAAGCACTTAGCCACAGTTAGACGACTCGAGAAACCCCTTCTGTGCGATTGTGGAGATCGAGTTGTTATAAACCTTGAGAATACGTTGGAGTTTGTGTGTCTAAACAAGCATGAAGTAAGTGCAAAGTGTATAGGTTAAAATGTTGAGCTATATGTGTTGATGTACTAATATCACCTTATTTAGGTGTTTTCAATAGCGAAGTGTCGTTTCAAGGACTGGTTGTATGGTCCTAAGAACCAATGACCGGAAGAACCGCCAAAGCTTAAGGAAAAGAAGAAAGAAAGGGTAATTTATAAAGCACCTCCTGTCATGTGCGAATGTGGTGTTAAATCCAACTATGGTCTAGCCCCTTCGAAGCTTGGAATAGGTCATTATTGCGGCCATATGATTGACTATGATGAGGTTGGTTATTGGTGTTGAAAACCTGAAATTGTATTTTCTGAATTTTTTGAAGAATTATGATATAATTTTTCGTTTGAACAGAGCACTAGGAAATGCATGTGGGAATCTTATGATGGTCAAGATAAGTTCTTGGATGACTTGAAGGGGATACAAGTAATTACACGAAAGAGGGGATATTGACGTGACTATGTCGACCACTTTGTTAAACTGCGAAGGAAGAACATGCGGGAGTTTGCTAGAAAGAGCGGTATTCATAACCCGATCGATGTCAAGCTTGACAAATGGGGGTCGGAGAGACGAAGGGCATTAGAGGAGGATAGGGCAAAGAAGGTTGCAATGGAGGAGGAAACAGTACAGATGCAGGCCTTGAACGACCATGTTGCTGCATTGTGTGCAAGTGGGTCATTGAAAGCCTTCTTGCTTTCGTTGCCTGCTTTTAAATATACTATAATCGCGTTGGTAACTTATTGCATTTTATACATGGAGGGATTGGATGCAGGGGGACCATACCGCAGAGGTGGCCCATGCAAGTTATGTGGAAAACAAGTTATATGAGCACAGAACCCAAGCCGATCGCAGCGTTCTATGTCCGATTGTGTTGGACAATGAGGGGGGCGAGGTTGAGGACGACACTGCCAGGTTGAGCGATCTTATCGCTCTAGCGGAGGCGGGCTTACATGTGGAGAAGGATGAGGACGACACTGACAGACTGAGCGAGCTCATCGCTCTAGCAGAGGCGGATTTAAAGACGGAGGAGGATGAGGAAGCGTTCTTCTCTCAAGCCGCAGAGGCCGCAGATGAAGCGGAGGCCGCTTACTACAGGCGACAGGCAGATCAGGGCAATGCGGATGAGCCTAGCCACATGAACGAGGAGGAAGAGAACGCGTTCTTGTCTCAGGCCGCAGATGAAGCGGATGCCGCTTATTACAGGCGAAAGGCAGATCAGGGCAATGCAGGTGACCCTAGCCACACCAACAGGGCAATGCAGGCGCGGCGGGCAGGCGAGTAGGAGCGGTGAGCGCAAAGGCGTGGCGGTCCGGCGGCCAGGCGCGGCAGCCGGCAGGCGCGTGCGGGCAGGCGGGCGCGCGCGTGCGTGCGTGCGGTGGGCAGGGCGTGGCGCGGCGGGACTGGGCCGCGGGCCTTTTGTCGGCTCTGCCGCGCCCTGGGCGGTGGCGCGTCACCGCCATGCCAAGATGCGTGGCGCGTCACCGCCGCGCCCTGATCGGTGGCGCGGTAGAGCCGGCCACGTCACCGGTCAGGCGCCTGGTCCCTGCCACATGGGCAAGCTTGCTGCGTCCCCATGCAGGGCACGACAGCGTTAATTTGCCGCGCCGTGCGAATAGGTGCGGCCAAAAGTGTTAGATGTGAAAAAAAAATTAAACTAAAATTAGTTTAAAAATGTGTTAAAAATAAAAATAAATTCACTGGAGCAGGTTATAGAGGCCTCGCATTTCGGCAATCCGTGTGACCGTATGGGTATGGAAACAGTGTCGGAACATATGCATGTTTCCGAAAACATAAAAGTTCGTTAGTCAGGAAAGATTGCAGAAATGTAAGACCACGTTTTTGGACTTGTTATTGTCAAATAACACGGTATTCATGGCGCCTATTTTTTCCATCTTTTATTTTAGGTGCAAATATCGAATTGCATTGGCCCATGTATTGTATGTTAGGTCCGCGTTTATATCGCACCTTGTACCAGGCGTATATTATCAAAAAAAAAAAAAAAACGTCCAGGAGCATTGTCTGGCCAAGCTACATGCCTACATTGCCTGCGTGACAAATCAAATAACCCCCTTCAAAAAATTGTTGCAGCATGTATGAGTTAGACCTATATACTATTGCATCGACTTTTTTTATTATAAAGTTAAGCATGCAAATGGAAGAATTTAATAAGAACTAAAAATTAGATTGAATTATAAGAGAACAAAGAATGGCAAAACAAATACAATACATTCATGCCTTCTATATTTCTTATATATTGAAAATAGTATTTGCACTTAGTGAAGGTGGCGTGGATGACTTGTATTAATAGGTGGTACCCTAGCACCAAGGCTCCGAGCAAGGAAGGAGTGTGTGTTGGGGACGAGGGTGGGGGGAGGGGGTTCTTTATTGTTCCGAGCATCACATGTAGATGGTTCGTACCCTAATCTAATGTAAAATCTTACCATGCTACAGTCCACCAAAACATCAATTGTTCTGGTATCATTTTGCACACTAGCGGACCCAACACTCATATAGAGTTTGGGCGATGCTTAAGACGAGCAATGAGGTCACATGTTTTGAAGCTTCGGACAAATGGGCGATACGACGAAAGTCTCACTATGTGCCGGCGCTGGAGTCCGGGCGGGCACCTAGGGTCGCCAGGCCCTAAATCCGCCACTGATCTTGCACGATAACTATCATCAACACATTTGGAATAGTTATATCAATTTAAAATTAATGTGGATTGAAAATAATGCAAACACGTTCACTAAGTTTTACAATATATTAATCACATGTCTAATGTAAAAATTTGTAACATCTGATGAGATCCCGATCCTGTTAGAGAAAAAAAATCCTAGTAGCTAGAACCCTGACCCTAATTACCGCCGGCTCAAGACTGTTTTAGGGGCAGTTTGGGAGAGCTCCAGCTTCAGCTTCTCCGAAGAGAATCACTCACAACCAGCCAAATGCTCAAAATGCCAACTGATTCAGGTGGGTATCAGTAGAGAATCACTTGTCCATTTACACTACGAGTTGGGAGCTAAAAAACCCGCTTCACCCTGCTCTCTGTTATATTATGGTGGGGATCAACAGAATTCTCATCAGCTCCCCACCCTGCTCCCTCATAGAAATTCAATGGAATCACGCCATCGGAGAATCGAGGAGCAGAGCTGAAGAATCAGGAAGCGGAGCAATCCCAGACGGGGCAATACTTCTGCAGTTCTGCTTGCAGCCCTGCGTAACAGCATCCGTGTTCCCTCTACCAAGTTCCCCTGTTTCTCTACGGAACAGGAACGGTGAGGAAAAAAAAATTATCCGATCACTCTGTGGCTAGTGTCAGCTCAGTTTCTCGCAAAACAATCGGAGGAGCACGCACGCAACTGACCTCAGCTGGAGTGTGAAAGTGTGCAGCTAGAGCTAACCACTGCTACTGTCCAAAACGTTCCATGCGGGCGCGCGCGCGCGAAACAAGTTTTTTGTTCTCCTTGCGATCGAAACAGATCAGACGACGTGTACACCATCACTCACCGTTGCAAGTCTGATCCATCTCTCACCTGCACCAGACCATGCCAATGCAACCTCTCACACGATAAGGATTGAAAGTTGGAGGCAGCACGTTACGTACAAGTTGCATGCATGATTTTGCTCGATCATCTAGCTAGCAGCCTCTTGCATTGGGGCGTACACCGCTGACTATAAATACGACAGCATCCCAAGCGACAACGGAACCAAGGCACGCTTTGCACTTGCAACTCCCTCACTCACCTCTAAGTGCGTGCCCCCGGCCGACCCACCTCTTCTCCGCTACCAGCCATGGCGTCGCCGTTCTCCGTCCCCTCGCTGGTCGGTTTCTAGCTAGTACATTTCAACTGTTAGTGCAGGAGGTACGTGTACGTGTACGTAACTCGCTCATTCGTCCCGTACGTCTTGACGTACATGTGCATGCAGATCATGGAGGAGGAAGGGCGGTTCGAGGCGGAGGTGGCGGAGGTGGAGTCGTGGTGGACCACGGAGCGGTTCCGGCTCACCAAGCGTCCCTACACCGCCCGCGACGTGGTCCTCCTCCGGGGCACGCTCCGGCAGAGCTACGCCTCCGGCGAGATGGCCAAGAAGCTGTGGCGCACGCTCAAGGCGCACCAGGCCGGTGGCACGGCGTCCCGCACCTTCGGCGCGCTGGACCCGGTCCAGGTCACCATGATGGCCAAGCACCTGGACACCATCTACGTCTCCGGGTGGCAGTGCTCGTCCACGCACACCTCCACCAACGAGCCCGGCCCGGACCTCGCCGACTACCCCTACGACACCGTGCCCAACAAGGTGGAGCACCTCTTCTTCGCGCAGCTCTACCACGACCGCAAGCAGCGGGAGGCGCGCATGTCGCTGCCCCGCGCCGACCGCGCGCGGGCGCCCTACGTCGACTTCCTCAAGCCCATCATCGCCGACGGCGACACCGGCTTCGGCGGCGCCACGGCCACCGTCAAGCTCTGCAAGCTCTTCGTCGAGCGCGGGGCGGCGGGCGTCCACCTCGAGGACCAGTCGTCCGTCACCAAGAAGTGCGGCCACATGGCGGGCAAGGTGCTCGTCGCGGTGTCGGAGCACGTCAACCGCCTCGTCGCCGCGCGGCTCCAGTTCGACGTCATGGGCGTCGAGACCGTCCTCGTCGCGCGCACCGACGCTGTCGCCGCCACGCTGATCCAGACCAACGTCGACGCGCGCGACCACCAGTTCATACTCGGCGCCACCAACCCGCGCCTCATGGGCCGGAGCCTCGCGGCCGTGCTGTCGGAGGGCATGTCGGCCGGCAAGAGCGGCAGGGAGCTGCAGGCCATCGAGGACGAGTGGCTTGCCGCGGCGCAGCTCAAGACCTTCTCCGACTGCGTCAGGGACGCCATCGCGGGCCTCGCCGTCTCCGCCCAGGAGAAGCAGGGCAGGCTCCAGGAGTGGGACCGCGCCACCGGCGGCTACGACAGGTGCGTGTCCAACGAGCAGGCGCGCAACATCGCCGCGAGCCTCGGCGTCGCGTCCGTGTTCTGGGACTGGGACCTCCCGCGGACCAGGGAAGGGTTCTACCGCTTCCGGGGCTCCGTGGCAGCCGCCGTGGTCCGGGGCCGCGCCTTCGCGCCGCACGCCGACGTGCTGTGGATGGAGACGTCCAGCCCCAACGTGGCCGAGTGCACTGCCTTCGCCGAGGGCGTCACGGCGGCGTGCCCCGAGGCGATGCTCGCCTACAACCTCTCGCCGTCCTTCAACTGGGACGCGTCCGGGATGACGGACGCCGAGATGGCGGCCTTCATCCCCAGCGTCGCCCGCCTCGGGTACGTCTGGCAGTTCATCACGCTCGCCGGGTTCCACGCCGACGCGCTCGTCACCGACACGTTCGCGCGGGACTTCGCGCGGCGCGGCATGCTGGCCTACGTGGAGAGGATCCAGAGGGAGGAGAGGATCAACGGCGTGGAGACGCTGGAGCATCAGAAGTGGTCGGGCGCCAATTTCTATGACAGGGTGCTCAAGACTGTGCAGGGTGGCTTCTCCTCAACTGCAGCCATGGGCAAAGGCAAGTGCCTCATTTCATTTAACTCCAGTGCTTTTTGAAAAATAATTTACTGCTCGTGCATACTCCCTCCGTCCCTAACCGCTTCACCAGAAACAACTTTAACTAAATATATAGTAAAAAATATTAATATTTATGATACATAATTAGTATCATTGGATAGATATTTGAATCTAGTTTTTTAATAAATTTATTTAGAGATAGAAATGTTGCACGTATTTTCTATAAATCGAGTCAAAGTTATCGGCACGTAAATCGTGGCGACTAACATTTAGGGACGGGGAGTATATAGTTTTGATGGTTTTTTATATACCTAATAATCTGATTTACCAAACCAAGCTGCTCATATTGTGTTTGTACTTGTGCTTTTCAGGAGTTACTGAAGAGCAGTTCAAGGATTCAAGGCCCGCAACTGGGAGCAGTGGCCTGCAAGTTATGGCCAAATCCAGGATTTGATGAAGACCGAGAGAGAATAATATGATTCGGAGAAGGCCCTAAATAAATGAGAAAAAAATAAGTTGGACTCAGATCATCAGCCATGGGAAGATGTTTTCCAAACTGAACTATAATCAGCATAAATGAATCAATGAGTCGTGTAGCTATGTACGAATGGAGTTCTGAGTTATGACTCCAAATGAAAACCCAGGTTGGGTTGAAAGTATTGGTGTCAATCTGTGAGATTATTTATCACTTGAGATTGAATACAAAATTTGATTATGGTACTCTGTTCTCGGGATTAAAAATCTTCATTTTTAGTACTGTTATATGCATGTACATAGGATTGTTGAGCCTGTTGTAAAATATATCGTTAGCGGTTAGGACCTTTCCCCCTCGGTCTCTCATGTTCAACATATATAGTACATGAAAGTAGAATACACAAATACAAGAGATAGAAAGACTATTCTTTATTCCTCTGAATATACATATTATAGCATAGAGCTCTCACGTATGTATGTATATATATATATATATAACCATACCAACGTCTAAAATTTATTCATCTAAATATACATGATTATAATAACATAGAGCTCCCACGTATATATAGTTCATATAAGGTTTAAGAGTTTGGCAAGAGCCCACATACAATGATGCAAACGGCAGGATTAAGATTATTCCTCCTCCTTTCCCTCTAGTACATAGTCTGTATGTTTTACAATACCCTGCCAAGGTCTAAGAGTTCGGTAAAAGCCCACATATAATGATGCAAACGACATGATTAAGATTATTCATCTTCCTTTTCTTCTATTATAGAGTCCGTATGTTTTACGACAGAGCCTACCAAGCTGCAAGACTTCTTCTACCCAAGAGTACAGCTGAAGATCGGATGAAGCGCCTGAAGTCTGGCGATGATGATGACGATAGGAACCTGTGAAGACGTATGCTGCAAAACAAAGACCTGCTGATGCTCGTATTTGTCTGTTGGGTAGTTGTATGATCATGGCTGTTCTGTTTGGTTGTCTAGAGATTGGTTGTTTTTTTTGTCTACCTCTCTTCCCTTCTGGAATTCTGGTATCAGGTCTTCGTGTCTGGTAGTTTGCCCTTCTCTGAGTCAGAGATGCCGGGCGCTTGGGTGTTTAGAATTGTGGCCCTGAACTCTCTTTTCTCTCTTTCTGAACAATCTCATGTATTTCCGTTTATCCTTAAATGGAAATGAAGGATGACCTTCGAGTGAAAAAAAAAAACAAAACAAAAGAGCCTACCAAAATTTAAAACGGTGTTACACCGACAAGAACCACTTTGTGAATGTTAACAGCAGTGGAGCCAGGGCCCAGGCAAGGCAACCCCCTCTCCCCACCCACTACCAGATACAGGAGGTTTGCCGAGTGTTACACTCGCCAAACAACACTCGACAAACCCTATATCGGCAAACGCTAGTTTGCCGAGTGTTTTTTGTCGGGCACTCGGCAAAGGCGTTGCCGAGTGCCCAAAAAACACTGATAAAATAAAAAAGACACGCCGACACTCATGCACCACCAGCACTGCCGCCGCCGCCTGCCGGTGAAGAAGGGAGGGCCCCACCACGCCACACCACCACCATGGCCGCGCGAAAGCCACGCCTGCGCACTGACCACCATGCCCGTCGCCGCCGGATCTGGAGAGGGAGGGCTGGGAGGGGGGCAGCGCCGCCGGATCCAGGAGAGGGAGGAGGGGAGGACGGGCCACGCCGAGGAGAGGAGGAGGAGGAAAGAGGGGAGGAGGGGAGGACGCGGAGGAGGAGGAGGAGGAGGGAGGAGGAGAGGGAGGGGAGGAGGGAGGAGGCGTGGCGTGCGGGGTGACGGAGGGGGCGGTGTGCGAGGCAATGCGACTTTTATTTCTAGGAAATTTTTTTTGCCGAGTGTTGTAGATCTAGCACTCGGCAAAGGTTTTTTTTTAATTTTTCTTCTTCTTCTTTTCTAGAAAAAAGATTTTATTTCTTTACCGAGTGTTTTTTTTGACACTCGGCAAACCGACTCTTTGCCGAGTGTTTTTTACAACAAGTGGTGGCAAGCCAATTCACTTATTCGCCAGTGCCGAGGGGCAAAATAAAAAACACTCGGCAAATTTGAGGATTCCGGTAGTGCCCCCACCCCCACCCCAATAACATATCACAACAATTTTTGTAATTGTATAACTTTATAGTTTTTATTTATATTAAGTGGGAGAATATAATAAATTTTATTATATATACCTATTAATATCTTCTAGATAATAAAATCATATAAAACATACTATACAATGCAATGACACATATGAGCACATCCAAAAGACCCTAAATAATAAAATCATCCCTATGAACATTTCCAAAAGTCTGGCCAATAAATCTAGAGATTTATGAGATCATTATAGAGTCTTACTATCAACAGGCAAGTCATCTACTACTGAAAAAATAGCGCATTAAATCCTAGAATACATATATAAGAAAAATACAATCACCCGTGTTAAGTCGATAAATTAACTAGTTGTGCTGCGCTCAGTTTTTACAAGTTGGATCTTTTTAGCTGGCCCCATATATATAATTCCTGGCTTCGTCCCTGAATGTTAATGGCCAGAATTTTCAATGAATGCTAATTAAGGTTCATTGGCAAAGAGAAAGTTAAGAAACAGGGCAGTCAGCTCACAGCTAGAACCAGAGCGCTCAGGGACAATCTTTATATCTCAGTTCTCTGTCTCAAAGAATATATAACTCCTGAAAAGCTTAAAAAGAAAATGTAGTACACGAAAATCTCCGCATTAACATTAGCATGATACCATGCTTGTTCAGTCATCATCATATCACTAAATTGAGTCCAGATGGCAAAATTCTTTTCTCGTTTCGAAAATCTGGGCCTTGTTTAGATACCCTCAAAATTCCAAGTTTTTTCACTCTCTCTCCATCACATCAATTTTTAGCCGTTTGCATGGAGCATTAAATGTAGGTAAAAAAAATAACTAATTGCACAGTTTAGTTGGAAATCACGAGATGAATCTTTTGAGCTTAGTTGGTCCACGATTGGACAATATTTACCAAATAAGACGAAAGTGCTACTATTCATCAGGTTGAAATTTTTTTCAATCAAGGCCCTGGAAAGGCGAAAGGTTTACCCTTTGATGAGTAGCTAGGGAGCTTGTAGGTCCTAGACCCTCCAGTTCACCGCGCAAATCTCACCATCGGCGGAGTGCTCCACTCTTGGACGAACATGACACTATGAGCCATTTAGACTAGAATTATTTTGCATAATATGATGAATAAATCATATGGTAGTACTAGTAAGACTTGACTTGCGGCATTTATTTAGTTCATAAAAAGGATAATGATACTACCGTAAATAAATAGAACTCAAAGAGCAATAAAATAACTATATAATTACCTCAAACAAGACAATAATGCTTTTACAAAGACACCTCCGGACATTTCTTGATGATGAAATATCAATATCAAGACAAATGTCGTCCAAAATCCTTCTCAATGCCGCAGGTACCTAAGCCATACAATCTTTCTTGTAACGTAGCCGACCTTAAACAAATTTTGACCTTAAACAGTACGCCTGTGCCGAATGATCCTCTTTCCGTGATTCCGTGTGCACGATGCGCCGTTCGCGGTGGCGATCTCGCAGAGAGCCAGAACGCTGATTCACTCGCGGCTCACGGAAAGACGGGCGAAACACCGAAACGGGAAGTGGAAGTGGCGCTACTGCGCTAGCGTGGCCCTTCAACTCCACGCTGATGGGCCACACCGCTCCCGCGCATACACCGGATGGGCCGCACACACATCGGATGGCCCGAGATTGCTGCTTCAATTCCAACGAACAATTCCCATACAGAAAGACGGACGCGAAGATGCGCCGAACCTGTCGACTGGAGGGGACCGAAGCGAAGCGGCGAGGAAGCTGTCAAAGTCCACCAAAACCACGCCGGAAGTCGCAGCGCAAAAGCCGGCCGGCAACGCGTCGACCGAATCCACTAGTATCCCTCTTCCGCTCCTATAATAGACGGGACCTGCGCCCCGCACCCGACGAGAATTCCACACCCACCCACCAAACAGAGCAGCGCAGCGGCGGCCAGCGCCCAACTAATTTCCCCTTCTCCCTCGCGCATCCTCGATCTCGCTGTCGTCGTCGGCATGGCGACCGATGTGTTGCGCGCGCACAACATCCTGATGCCGGTGCCGCAGAGGATCCGGGCCGCGGCGGCGGCGCACCGGAGGTCTGCTGGTAGCGGCAACCACCACCCTGGCGCCTCCACGAGGAGGTCGCCGCCAGCTGGGACATCGTCTCCTGCGGCGGGCCGGAGACACCACGGCAGGAAGGCGAGGCCTACGGCGGAGGTGTACGCCGGGCCGGCGTTCTCGACGTCCCCCGACCCGAGCTCGCTGCCGCTACCGCAGTTCTCCGCTAGAAAGGCTGTAGCTGTGGCCGCCGTCGACGCCGCCGCTGCCGCGACGCGCGACCTCAGGCTTATCCTTCGGCTGGAGTAGCCAGCTGGATACATATCTCGTCTGCTGGGTCAATTGGTGGCTTCGGTTTCTCTTATTTCTACTCCTATACTTAACTTACTACAGTACTAGTCGACGCATGATCGATCGAGCTGCATGTTAGTTCTGGCTGCTCTCCTGGTATGTGTTCCGCGCTGCAGCGGCGAGGCTTCCGGCTCAGTTTTATTGTGTGGCCGGCGGCGAGGCACGCGGCGGCCGTGGGATCCCACCGCGACGGCGGTGTAGAACGATCGCAGCAATATACTCTGTACTGTGACGTGCAAGTAGATTGTAGTATAAGATAGGAGTATGTCATTATACTCATATGTGTAGAGTAACTGTGGGGGTTCATCCGTGTAACAAGTCATCAGCATGTAATCCTCTCCGTCTCTATTCATCAATACACATTTCTACATATTTCAACAATCGCTGCACAATCATCATTCGTTGTCTCTCACACCAACCGCTCCCGCCATCCAGCATCTTGTTTAAGGCCGCATCCTGTTGTAAGATAACTTAGGTATGGTCTTCCTGTTGCAGCAAAATCTCTGCCTTTTTTCAACTCAAAGAAAGGGGTGGCTACGACAATGTAACACTGTGCCCTTGCGAGTTCCGGCTTGTGCTCGGCAAGCATTCGGCGCTCGTCGCCGAGGGCGGAGCCACGAAATAAAAACGAGGGAGGCCAAATACTATCTGATGAATTATTGAGGATAAATATCAAAAAAAATTCTTCAAATGGTGGAATTTTGTATACACAAGATGAGCTCACCAAGCATAGAGGCGCCTGCCCCCTCAGCCCCTTCCTCCCTCAGCCCCTGCTCGCCACCCATGGCGCCATTGCGCATTCCGCGCCGCCATACGATACTTCATTGTGGCGACACACCCTCTCTGGTCGCCGGAGTCCTGAGTCCGCCGCTAGGCCACCGCCCAGCACTCTCCGTGCTAGAGTTTGAGGTTGGAGAAAACAGGAGAGAGAGGACATAGGAGTTGTACCTAAGCCTCGTGGCGACGCGACCTCGCTGGCCGCTGGAGTTCCGTATCCGCTGCTCGGGCACCGCCCAGTGCTCGCCGTGCTTGGGGTTGAGGTTGGAGAAAACACGAGATAGAACATAGAAGGAGTAGTACCTAAGAGCATCTCCAGTAGAACCCCTTTCTTCTTTCCCTTAAAAATTGCTATAGGGAATTGAGGAAATAGTAATTCTAATTTTAGAGAAAGGTGGCTTAAGCAGATTGAGAAAAAATCACGTCCCTCTTCTCTCCGGTGACTCCCTCCACCCTCTTCTCTCTTGGTCTCTCGTGACACTCTCCACCCTCTTCTCTCCCTGTGGCCGGCAAGGGGGCATGGCTGGCGGCTCGGTGCAGCGGCGGCGCGGCCGACCCACGCACCTGCCTACCCGGTGCGGTGACGGCATGAAAAGAGATTGAAAAAAAAATACTGACAGATCCCCTTTATTTGAGGTACTGAGAAAAAAAATTAAGAAAAGAATATTAGAAAGGGGATTTGCTGGAGCATGTTTGTTTTCTCCAATTCCCTTTGTTGCTGGTTATATGAAAAGGAGATATGTTTTCCTTAATCCGATGGAGATGCTCTAAAGGGTGAGAGAGCGGGCGATACGAGTGCACTTGTGGGAGAGAAGTTGGGTCATAGGCTGTTGGGCCTTATTGGGCTATGGGGTGCAGTAGAAGAAAGTATGTTTTAGGCTCGACACTTGACATGGTATTCTTTTTTTGCTTTATTTTCCTTTTTATTAAATCGAAAACGCTTGAATTAGGGCGTCTGGACGGTTCTCTTTCCGTCGGACGCCGCATCCACCGTTAACGCCACGGATTGAAACGAGTTGGCGCACCGCTTCAGGCTTCTTCGCACAAGCTCACACGACTCGCTCATTCTCCACTACAAGGTCTCGCTCGCTGCGCCGCTGCATCCCTGCGTCGCCGTGCGCATCCACCTTCCTCCTTTCCCTACACACCCTACGCCGCTGCATCCACCCACATGCCTTTCTCGTCGCTGTGCTTTGCTCTTAGGTGATCTCCACCAATCTCCGTTTCCTCCCATGGAAGGCGTTTGTGCATATGGACGAGTCTGTACCCCGCGACTCCCCACTCGCCTCGTCGTCGCGGCTTCAACGCGCTGTTCTCACCTCGTCCTCTGTGCCATCGAGCTGCGCGCCGCCGACGAGCACACCGGTGACCTTCACACACCACCCGCCCGCCCTCTGCGCCACCGCTGCCCATGCCGCCCCCACCCCACCCTCTGTATGCCGTCGCCCAGCTCCGTGTTGTCGGCGAGCACACTGGTTACCTCCACGCGCTGATGAGCTTCCATTCGCCGAAGTTGCAAGGAGATGTTTGCGCTGAGAAGCACATGTTGCAACTATATGTTTTTAAGTGTTTCAGAGGTATGTTGCAAGTGTTTCATGTCGTTGTTGCAAAAGTAGACATGGATGTTGCACATGTTGCAATGATTATGCACGTATATTTCTAGTGTATGTTTCATTTGTAGCAGACGTATGTTGCAACGAGTAGATCTAGATATTGCATATACATGCATATTGCAAGCGTATTTTTCAAGTGTTCGGGTGTTTCATACATCTGTTGCAAGTTTTTTTATCTGGATGTTGCATATGTTTGCGACGGTTTTCAAGTGTTTTCAGGTATTTTTGTAAGTGTTTTCAAACGCATGTTTCAAGTGTTTCATATGTCTTTTTTTTGTATGTTGCAACTGTTGCATCTGGATGTTTTAAAAATAGATCGGGTGTTGCACATGGGATGCGCGTGGGAAGTGGCTGGAGGTGCGGGTGACGTCCGGGGCGGTGCGGGCGATGTCCGGGGCGGCGCGGGGCCACTGCTGGGGCGCTCACTAGCAAGCGCGACGCGCTAGGGTGGTCGCTCGCTCGCTAACGGGTACCACCCGACACAGCAAGTTTGTTATTAAATACTCCCTCCATTCTAAAAAGAATGCAATTCTAGCACGGAGTGTTACGTTTTAGTACCTTATAAGTTTTACCAATTATAGATAAAAAAGTAGCAATATTTATGATATCGAATAAAGATCATTATATTAAAAGTCATAATATGAATAACATCCTCTATAAAACTTGGTCAAACATGAATCGTAGTTATATTTTTTTTGGACGCTTCTTCACTTCGTATTAGATCCATAACGCGCGAGGTTTTTTCGACGACGATTGCCAAGGCAGCTTGTAGACCTTGGCCCTCCTCTTCACTACGCAAAGCTCACCTTTCCAAGAGTACTGGACTCGGAAGGTTACTACGCGAAGCAGCATGGGCACGATGAGACCGAGGGTATCTGAGCGGTCCTGGTGCGGCTGCGTCACAGTCTCGAGGAGGCAGAACCTGGCGTTGCCCATATAGGCGAGGCTGGCGCTCACGTGTCTCCTCCACATTTGCCTGAACAGCAGGTCCCTCCCGCACTTGCAGGCCGGCTCCGCCCCACCACGGCGGTCGTCCACCACCCGGCACGCGGCGAGTCGCCCCCTGTGCCGCGAGCAGAGGCCGACCCACGCGTCCAGGTCGCGGACGTAGTACGCCTCGCCGTGGAACGGCAGGACCCAGTCGCCGTGGCGACTGCGCGCCCACTCCAGGCGCTCGGCGTGGAAGGAGAACGTCCCGGCCATTTACACGGACAGGAACACCGTGGCGCCGTCCGGGTGCACGGCGTGGGACACGACGATGTGGTCCATCTTGAACGGCGGCCGGGGGAGAGCCTCCCACTGCCAGGTCCCGTAGTGGCGCTGCGGCTCGGGGCCGAGCCTCTCGAAGACGCAGCGCTCCTTTCCATAGCTGGGTTCGTCGGCGCTCGTGTCCAGGGCATAGACGGTGCCGCCGATCGCCCAGAACGCGTCGTACTTCTTGGGTGAACGGAGAGGCGGGGTGGCGGACACTAGCCGCGTTCTGGCGTCGAAGATGAAGTTAACGGCCGTGCTGGCTCGGTAGAAAGAGCCGCTGTCCAGTCCAACGATCTTGGTGCCCGCGGCGACGAACTCCGGGCACCCTCTGGTGGCCAGGCGGGCGACGAGTCTGCGGTGGCGAAGACGGCGAGCCCTGGAATCCACGTTGTACTCGGAGTCGAAGCGGGCTTGAGCGGCGAAAGAATCCACGCTGCCCTCGGACTCGGAGGAGCAGACGGAGCAGGAGTCGTCGTCCGCGTCCTCGGAGTAGGCATCGTCGGAGTCGAAATCGTCCTCGTTCAACTTGTATACGCTCACCCCAGAACGGCCGTCGTGATTGCTTAGTATGTAGAGGCGCCGCCGCCGTCGCCGCTGCTGTTTGTCGCCGTCAGATCTCCGCGGTGGCCTCGCCATCTTCTTGGTAAGATTTCTGTCAATGTCCTTTCGTATCTCTAATTTGCTGTATTATAGCCTGACAGTTGCCACTGCTAGTCACGACGACTGGCCGGTTCAGGCCTCCCTGATCGGCAAGAGCCCACTATATACCCTTGCCTTGCCTTGCCGTACGCGGAGGCGGCAGGTTTACCATGCCGAGTTTGAGTCGGATTCGGGCATCCTTACCTGAAAGCTTGCCCCAAAGGTCAAAACAGAGATGGATTCGTGCATCCTTACCTGAAAAGCTTGAAAAACAGACCTGCCTTCGTTCATCCTTACAAAAAAAAAAGTATCCGTACGTGTTTATTCCGGTTCTACTCTTGTGGTGGTTTCTAAGAAAGTGATCACAGTCCTACTACAAACATATTAATGTATAAAAAATCTGCAGAAAAAACCAGCATGATAAACTGAAATTTCATTTGTTTGCAATAATCTACTTCCACGGTAAAGATTTTGGTTTTCATGACACTTTGGTATGTACTCTTACATGAATAAGGCTGAATGATATAGCCGAGAGAATTAGTTGCAACTTACACGAATTATAAGTAGACTGGTACGTTTACAGTACATGCAACAGAAGATTGTATTTGTTTTTCCTTGCTCCTCCTTACTTAGATTTAGCCCATGGCTTTAGAATCGAAAGCACAACTATGATGGCAATTACCAGCAGAATGATAATCGCAATCATCATGCACTTTCTCGACTTCTTCCGATAGCTCTTTGCTTCGCGGAGCGCTTCAGTACCAGTTACCACATGGTTCACAGCATTTTGAACCTGACGGTGGAAATGGATCAGCGCTCAAACTTGACAATTTTCCAGTAGCACTGATTAAATTCAGTCTCTTTTCTTTTCCAGTTACATATACTAATCAGACCAAGAAGTGAAGTTACAAACCTGATTCTCTAAGCTGTCTAGAATCTCTCCTTGTGCATCAACGAGTACTGCCATGTCTGCAAGAATCTGAAAATAAACAGTACACGCCTTGGTTTAGTGGCCATGGGAATCTGGAAATTGATGTCATCAATTATGTTCCTGTTATAGATTATTAGATTATAAATAGTAGTAAACATTGTTATCTTGTAACAAAATATCTAAGTTGATGTTTTTGAACAACTTCGTCTAAGCTGCATTCTTGCCAGAAACTACCTGCTGCAGTTCAATGTCCCTCTCCCTTTCTGGCTTCTCATCCCTCTCAAAGGAATCCTGTCATAGAATTAACCGAACCGACAGCGGTTCCAACAAGCATATTAGTAAATTATCATGAAGACAGCCCCTACAAATTTTGCACTGAAAATTTGGTATCTCTGTTTTTGCAGGTTATATATCCCAACAGGAAAGTCAGTTAGCTTCAAAGCCAGATATTCTGACATGGCCAAAATAATTGTTACAGTCTGAGTTCCCAGTATGAAAACTAGAATAAAAAGGAGAGACGATCTTGCAAGAACGAACTGCACATACCGTCAGAAGATTGTTCATCTTGTGGTCCTTGGAGAAAGAGACGGGGGAGCCTTCCCTTGGGTTTCTCGTGCAGCAGTGCGAAGAACAGCAAGCCGCCGATGAAGAAGGAAACGGTGTATTCAGAGGACTTTGGAGAAGCCGTTGTGACGAGGATAGCTAGCAGGAGTAGTAATAAACTAGACGAGGATAGCTAGCAGGAGTAGTAATAAATTAGAGAGAATTATGTATTTGACACTTAAATAAATCAGTCTTTCGTATTTGGCATTTAAAAATTTAAACTTTCTTATCTGGCACCAAATTAAAATTTTCTTCCCTATATGGCACTACCGTCCGTTTCATCCATTCATCTGTTGTTTGACTATTTTGACCGTGTCAGTTTTTTTTAGTGTGACCAGCATACCCTCTGTTACTCACGCACCCAATTTCTCCCTGGACTCCCCGAGCGACCGAGCGCTCCTGTCTCCCGTGATGCCGTCGTCCTTGCGCTCTTCGTCTCGCCGGTGAGATCTGGCGACTGGCTTCCGGCCACCGCCATGTTCTACGGCGGCGCTGACGGCTCCGACACAATGGGTGGGTAACCTATAGTGCTCCACGACAGTGCAAGTTAATTTATCCAATATATCCTCCAAGACTAGAGAATTTGTGATATTTATAATTTTCTTATTTGACAACCTGTTCATCTATTATTTTCCTATTTGACATCATGTATTTCTGCTACAAAGAAGGACATTCATATCATTTTACCAGCCACTTGACGCCGTTACTAGCCCAAATGAACGACAGTGCTATCTACAGAAGAAAATTACAACTTGGTGCCAAATAAGAAAGTTCAAAATTTTTAGTGCCAAATACGAAAGACTGATTTATTTCCGTGCCAAATACATAATTATCCCAATAAAGTATAGTCAGCAAGGATGATCTTGGCGACGCCGGCCAGCACTAGAAGCCATTAACTAGCAAACAACCGGGTTTAGCAACTAACTAAAGAGACTTAATGCCTATTCAATGGTAATGACTACGCTTGTTGAGACTTGCGGTCTCAGACAATGGGGAGGAGGTGGAGGCCTCCGCCCGCCAAGCGCTGCCCTCAGGCTGAGGCTCGGGAAACAGACACGACAAGTGGGTGTGTAGGGAAATGGCACGTAAAACTAGGGTTTCATTAATTCATTCACCAACCTCCCGTACTGTTACAAGTGTTCCCTATTTATAGGGCTCAACAACCACTTTTACAGAGTTTACAATAGTACCCTTCAACTGCTACAGTACATTCTCGGAATATCCCACTACTCGCCTTTCTTCTCGGGGGTAATCTTGTCTTGCCGCCCTCAGGTACTGGGCCTGCGCGATCAGCCGGCCCATCAGGCCTCCGCCATCGGTCTCCGCCCCTGGGACACCGAGGCCGCAGACCCCCGACGCCCAGTATTGTCGTCCTCCTGGTTGGGTCTCTGCCCCTGCGAGCGGAGGCCGAACCGGCGCGCCTGCGCCGTCCACGAGCGCCTTCCTCTGGTTACCTGCACACACACGTAGATAACGTTGGCACTTGATTAGCCTTGCAGCGGGGCGACCTCCACCCCCTCCGGCCGGAGACGCCTACGAGCTAACCGGGCGGAGGCTACGCCAGGGTCACCGACGGCGTTCTGCAAGTTGTCTGAGAAACCGTCATCTTTCTGGGTCTGGAGGCGTGGTAGCCGGGCCTTTGCTTAGGTAGTCGGTCGGAGACGTCTCTGCGAACTGCTGGCCGCGTAGGTCTCTGCCACTCTCGGAGGCCGTGTTACAACAGTTCCCCCCTTTTGAGACTACGGTCCGCCTAAGCGTGTCGTGAACTCAAAATGCCCTAAGCAAGGACGTCCGTGGGGGCGGAGACTGCGCGTAGTCATGTCTCCGACCGATCCACGCAGGTTCCCCCCTGGCCCGCTCTGGCGTGGCCGCTGGTCTTGTCATAGTAGCCATTAGGCTGCAAAACTAGCCGTTGTCCTACGCTATGGCCATTTACGCCGTATTGCTTTCCGTTGTATACCTTGCGACTTCTTCGGAGATGACCGTTGGGCGACAGGCGAATTGTCCGGAGATGACCGTTGTACGGCGGTAGCCGAACCGCCTGCCCGCGTCCTATATAAGGACGGGGTTGGTTGCGGGGTCCCCCCCGCACTGCTCATTCGCTTTCCTTGCTTCTGAGAAATCGCTCTCTGCTCTCTCCGGTTTCGCCTGAGCTGCCTTCGCGCGTTCCGTCTTTCCGCTTGCGTCTTCCACCTAGGCTGCCGCCGCGGTGGCTTCCTTTTCCGCCTCCACCCATACTCGCCGGCCCGCCTTCTTCGGACCCTATCGCCACCTTCTCGGCATTAGGGCCGCCGGCTGGAGTGCGCGCTTTGAGGAGTGCATGCTTGCCTCCGCCTCCGCGTTGGAATTTGAAAAGCTAGTGGAGGAGGATTTGGGGAGTGTCTCCGCGTCCATCGGAGACCTGATCGCTATGGATTCCAGAGACATGGCGATAAAGTCATGGGATTTTGGCCCCTCCTCCATTACTGAAGAGGCGGTCGCGGAGATGTTGAAGGAATCGTATTTTCCTTCTTCGAGGATAAAATTCCCTCCGCCCGGCCAACCATTCCGGAGCCGAAGGAGGGGTATGCGGTGGTGTTTCGGGACTTTTTCACCTGCGGCCTCCACCTTTCTTACGTCCCCTTCCTCCGCTGGGTGTTGGAGACATTCAACGTCCAAGTTCACCATCTGACCCCTACGGCCTTCCTTACGCTCAGCAAATTTTGTTGGGCATGTGTTTCTTATGGTGCCAAGCCGGATGTGGACACCTTCTGCACGTACTACGAGCTGCAGAAGCAGCCGAAGAAGAAGGAGGTGCGGGAGGGCAAAGAGGTGGAGGTGACCTACCAGTATGGTAGTTGCACCTTTATGTCGAAGAGGAACCAAGGCGTAGACCGCCTGGAGCTTTCTTTTTGCCAGAAGGGCAAGTGGGACCGCGGCTGGCTTGAGCAGTGGTTCTACGTGAAGACCTACGGGGTTCGCGGCACTACCGAGGATGGTGCGAAGGTCGTGGAGTATCCATTGACTTCAAGAATGGAGGAGATGGCGCCGCATACGCGCGTGGATCCACCGGAGGAAAAGTCTCCGGCGAGGAAGGCTTGCGATCAGGCTTTTGCGGCTGCGTGCTGCTACTCCGGGGGCCGCGACCTGGTGGAGGAGATTATGGCCTCCAACTACTGGCCCCTGGGCAAGGACAACCCGGCCTTTCGGCTGGAAAAGGTGAAGGTTCCTATTTTTGGTCCGGAGGCCAGGATTCCTTTCCCCCGCTTTGGCCGGTCTTTAGGGGAGGGGGTGACGGAGGACAGCTTCGTTGCCGACATTGTGGAGGCCACCATCGGGTTGGTTGGCAAAATTTCTGAGCGTGAGTACACGTCTCGGAGAGCCGTGGTAGGCACCATGCCGCGGCTCAATCATGTTTTTGAGGAGCTCAGGATCATCTATCGGGAGCGCGAGGTTCCCACCGAGGTCCTAGCTTCAATTGACAAGAAGAAGAAGAAGGCCTTCGCGAAGAATGTTATGGCGGAGGCTGAGTCCAAGAAGAGGAAGGGCGCCGCTGTAACTCAGGCGCCTGTGAAAAAGAAGAAGAAGACCAGTTCTCTGGTGATCGCGATGGCCGCGTCTTCGGCGGGTAGTGCTGGCGTTGCCTCCACCGGCAGTGAAGACGTTCAGAGCTCCTCCGTCCCGTCAGTGGACGTGCGGGTCGCGAGTGGCGAGGATCGTGGCTCGCCTGGAGCTCCGGTGCGCCCTATGAGCGGCGCTGTGAGTGGTGCTGGGCGTCCGGAGGCCAGCGCTGCTCCGGCGTGCTCCTTGCACGGTGCTACGAGTGTCGCCGAACAGTCGGAGGCTAGCGCCGCCGATCCTATGCCTGACATTTTTTGCGGGCTGTATTTAAGTTCTGAAGATGGCGTAGAGGTCGCCTTGCAGCACGCTCCTTCGATTCCTGCCGTTGTTGCGCCTTCCTCCGCGCCAGCGGCAGACGTCGGGCAGCCGGAGGCCCCGCTTGCTGAGCAGGCGCCGGCGGCTCGGTCTTCTTCGAGCCCTCCGCCCGCCAGGCCGCTGGCTGAGGAGAGCCGGTCCTTTGGGCCTTCGCCGCATGATATGGCGGAGACATCTGCCCAGGGGGCTCGGCAGGCAGCCCAGCCTAGGCTTTTTATGAGTAAGTTTGTTTGGCGCATACTTTTGTGTTTACTGTCTTCGCCCGGTTTATTTGTTTATGTATTGTACCAAGTGCTAATACCGTGTACTTGTTGCTTTGTAGGTGATGTCATGGCTGGACTCCTCACCCCGGAGGAGCGAGCGGCCGATGCCAGCGTCAGGTTTGGTTCGGGGCAACCGGGGCTAATGGCGCCGGGTTCGAGTGAGTATAGAGTGTTTTTATCTTACTCGTCTTTTGGCCTGTTGTTATTGCCTATTTCTGATCGGCCCTCTGACCTGAGTTGTTGTTGTTGTTGTGTTTTTTTTGCTGCGCAGGCTCCTCCGACACTTCTATCTTAGGTTTGGAAGAGTGCTATCTTGGGGTTCTTGGAGACGTCGGAGGTGGTCTCTGGCAGTTGGTGTATTTATTGTGAGATTTGCTTTTCTCACCTTATTGTTTTGTGTTTGTTTGTTCTTCTTTGAATAGATCACTTCAAACAGCGTCTGAGGGACATGGATTTCTTCCAACTTCTCCGTGTTCATCTAGAACACTAGAGCTTGGTGCGTCTTCGGTGGTTTGCCTTTTTTGGTGTCTGTTCGTTTTTAGACTTGTTTTTGTTTCTATTGCTGATCGCCTTGGTCTTCTTCTTTCTGATCGTAGGGGTATCACACGGCCGTTGTTATGGAAGAGCGCTGCACTCGCGAGGTCTCTGACCGAGATACTGCGATTGAGGCCCTCAAGGTGGAGAACGAGCGCCTAGAAGGTGAAAAAGGGGGTTTGGCCAACTCCCTTGCAGCTCTCCGCCTTTCTCTGGCGGAGAAGGAACAAGAAAAGGAGGCTTTGAGGGCCGATCTCGCCAAGGCCCGGGATGCGAAAGCTTTGTCCGCCGAGCAGGCCCGCAGAGCGAACGAGTTGGCCGAGGGTCTCCGGCGAGAGCTGGCCTCTGAGAAGGAATCCGCGGCTGCGGTGGGGGAGCAGCTGTCTTTGTCAACGAGGCGTTTGGACTCGGTCAAGGGGGTCCTTGCTGCAACCGTTGGCCATTATGGCGCCATCGTCGCCGAGTTCGGAGCAGAAACCTCCGCTCCTCCGGAGGAAGACAGCGTCTACGCCCTCGCCTCCTGGCTAAAACATCACCTTGCGAAGCTCCCCGGTCTGATCAATGGCTGCACGGACTACGGGGCGCTGGTGGGAGTAGCGAATTATGCCAAGCTTTTGGTGCGCGGCGGGTGCACGCATACCGAAAGTATTCTAGAGAGAGCACTGCCGGGTCCGGAGGAGCTTGGTGAGACTTCTCTTGGTTTGCGAAAAACCTTAAGAAATTTCATTGGGTATTTTTGGGCTCCGTTTGGGAGACCTGCTGCCCG